TCGGTGCTCCATTGGCCAGAGTTTTCAACGGTCCTGACGACTGTCACCACCTGGGTGGGCTGCTTGTGGACAGCCGTGCCTGTAGGAAACACCATGCTGAAGAAAACACAGACACCGATTAAAATGCTGTAGTGGTTATCTGGTTAGAGAAATTCAACATGAAAAAGGTAAAAGACTGGTTTTGATACATGTTATAACAGGATGATTCCTGGTTCATATAAATGACAACAAATATCTTTGGCCAGCTGTACAAATGATTTATGTACGGCCCAGACACACTGTTTTTATGCACAGATTTATTATCTCTGAATTCCTCAGAAACATGTTACCACGTATTACATTCATGATTTTACAAAGATTTCTGATTCTCTTAAGCTGTTCATCAGTGTAAAATGTTTTTCTTACCTTCTTTGGTCTTCTCTGGTTCTCTGAGCTTTCAAAACAAGAGAAAGGGTTAGGAAACACCAGCATTTAAGCACAGACCAATAACAGGAAGGGGAGGTGCCGAGAGTACGCACACATCTAAGTTTTACTGGATTGCCAGATGTTTTTGGATTACTTATGAGCTGCGGAGGGCTGAGCCTGATGGGAAGTCTACACCAATCACTGTAATGACTCCCAGTAACTGCTATGACGAATGTTTAGGAATTCACTGAGCCCCTGCTTCAGTGCTGTGAAAGGAAAACACACTGCTTAACCGATGAGCAGCAACAAGACTTATTCTATGAATCCATCAGTGCTTCTGCTGTCGATCCAAACACACTTGACACCAGAGGTGGAAAGTAACAAAGTACAAATACTTCATTACTGTACTTCAGGTATCTGTACTGTACTTGAGTAGTGTTTTTTTAGTGATTACTTTTTTCTACAAATATCTGTACTTTCTACTCCATTGTGTAAAAAGGCTTGTTACTTTTGCTCAATGCAGTTCTGTCACTGTGAGCCTCCAAACATCAAACTAATTTCAAACACAGAATCAGAATCAGAAAAGGTTTTATTGCCAAATGTTGAGCAGGTTTACAACATTAGCAAAGTGCAAAACATTCTGTCAGACAACGCTCAAATAAACATAAAGATAAGAATTAAAAGTGCTAAGTAGATAGATATATACATGAGTGAACAAGCTGAGTGGAACAAACCTCAGCCCCCACAGCTCCGCCTCCAGCATACTACCCATAAACCATAACTATAAACTAAAAACAGAACCAGCCCCAGCCTGCCCAGACTCTCAAGTCTAAACTTGTAAGTAACATCATGTAACAGCAAAAAGAGCTTCTGTGTTTTCAAAACCACGACATTTGATCAGGTTCACATCAGCTGGCATGTTATGGTTGGTATGTGTGACCCTTAATAAAAATTTAAGTTTCGCGTTTTTAAGACGATCATCAAATGTTTGGTCACATGACATGGTACTCATATAGACCAATAGCAGCTGCTACTTGTGCCAGTTTGACACACACACACACACACCGAAACCTCTGCACACTTTGGTGTTTTCAAATCAACTTTCCAAGTCAATTTATTTAAAAACAATACGAGTTTAAATTGAACACCACGTTCAACTTAAACGAATAAAACAAACACAGAGAAAAAAGGACAAACAAGAAACAAAAAAACTCATATTTAAATGCTAGAGAGTAAAGATGTGTCTTCAAGTGGGTTTTAAAGATGTCGAGTGTTGGTGAGGTCCTACTCTGAGGGGCAGACTGAAAAACAAACAATAACCTTTTAAAATTCTAAATTCTAGTACTTTAAGCCAGCGTAAATATGCTTGTTTTAGACGGTATCATTAAGGCCGTCAACGCATCACCTGAGGACGCCTTGGACAGAACCGAATCGAGAAACCTTTGCCGAAGAGCGGACCCTGCGCCAGCAGGAACAACGCCAGGATGAAGAAGAAGAAGGCAGCATACATTTTCGCTGCTATGCCGATGGCACCCAACTTTATCTATCTTTAATAGACCTCTCTGCATTAAATCATTATTTATTATTAATCTCTGGCTGTCTTCCACAGCGTGTCTTTTGTCCTGTATTGTCACGGTCCTGGGTCTGTGACCCAGTGTTTTCTGTTCTGTGTTGTTAGTCTTTGATTTCTTGATGCATCTTTGTTTATTCTTACGTTTTGGTTCTGTGTATCCCCTCTAGTGTAGTCAGGTTTGTCTTAAGCCTGCGTCTCTGAGTCTGTGTCTTTGTGTGTGTGAGTTTACTGTTTTACTTGGAAAATCCGTGTCTGATGTCAGTGTGTTCAGTTTACGTTTCCCCTGTCCCGTCATGTCTGATTACTTCCAGCTGTGCCCTCCTTCTGTGTCTCATTCCCTCGTTATCCCTCTGTGTATTTAAGCCTTGTGTCTGCCTCTGTTAGTTGCTGGTTTGTCTGCGTTATTTCCCTCTGTCAACCTGCGTATCTCCCTGCGTATCTCTATGTCTTTCTCCCCGGGTCTCCAGTTAACGTTTCAGGTTAGTTTTTTCCAGTTTAGGTTTTGCTTATCTTCCTCCATGCCTTCGCCGTTTCTGTTTGTATCTCCACCTTCTCAATAAAACTCCCCTACATCTCAGCTGCCAGCATCTTGTGTCCTCATTAAATTCTACACGACTCATCCCGCAAGCCGTGACATGTATTCCTCCCCTCACCCAACCTGTCGCAGCAGATGGCCCCGCCCCTCCCTGAGCCTGGCTGTACTGGAGGTTTTTTCCTATTACAAGGGAGTTTTTCAATCCTACTTCACCAAAGTGCTTCCTTATAAGGAGTCATATAATTGTTGATGTTTTCTCTGTATGTATTATTGTAGGGTCTGCCTTACAATATGAAGCTCCTTGAGGCGGCTGTTGTTGTGATTTGGCTCTAAAATTGTATTGAAAGAGTAAAGAAAAACAGGAGAAATATGTTCTTGCTTGCGTGTCCCTGTCAGGAGTAGAGCTGCTGCACTCTGAATGATTAGTACAGATAAGGGAGCAAAGCAATAGCCTGAGTGACTCCAAAATGAAGGAAATAAACAAGCCTGGATGAAATGAAGGCATTAATTAATTTCTCAAAGTCGGAAAGTACAGAAAAACACAAAATGAACAATACATGTTCATCTGAGCCAACTAATGATGCCTAATGATACTGAACAACTGCAAAAGGCTGTAAAAGACCAGCGGACAGATGTTAATGTTGTTACTGGGAATAATAGAAGACCAGTTACTCAGACCGTTTCTTACAAAGTAAGAAAAATCAGTTAGTGAAGAACAGATGGTTTCTTTCCACTTAGAGCCTTGAGACAACTGCTGTTGTGAATTGGCCCCATATAAATAAAATTGAACTGAATTACACAGACTACTATTACCACAAAGCCTGTTTTAAATATATTGCAAGACAATCACATCAATTTGCATGTAAATTCTGTTACATTTATGTAATGGTGAACTGACGTGATTCATTCTGGGGTCAAACTTTTAGAGGATGTCATCCCCCAATCATAATGTCATGCATACATTGTGCCAAAATGAACATTATTGCATTCTTGTTACAAACAAACTTTTTCACCTTCATAAACCTGAATTTAAAGGTGTAGTTATTGCAGTGTTACTTTGAAAAGCAACCTTTGTAGTGCGATTAGAGTAAAATACACCAGTTTTAAGGTGGACCCAGTACTTATCCCGCCTGTTGCAGAGGATTGATTACGTTGATCAGAACTTTCCTAAGTTAGCTGAACTATTTGTAATAAAGCAGATAAAAGGAGAAACATGCTTAACATTGTTTCAGTCTCTTAACCACATGGAGGTGTAACTGTGTTTATGTTGTGTGTGACTCCACTTGCCATAATAACCACAATGTATTTATTTATTACTCTGTGGAAGAACAATGAC